CACCCAGTGATCTCACATTACTTCATCCAGCTATACTAATCGTCAACAACAGCTGCGTTCGGAGAACCGGAATAGCGAGCTCAAAGTTAGCGCGATGATTTGATCTTGGATGTGTCATTTGATCTTGGATGTAGTAAGCGAGGTACGAAGAACGGACCCCAGTCCATGATTGATAGTGTTCCTTTGTGTGTTTTTCTATCCAGGTATGCTTTTACTGCAATGGTGTGTGTGTTTGAGATCATTGTTATGCTAAAAAAAAAAATTTTTAAAAATGAAACTGTTCCCAATCAAATGCTTTCTGGTTGGTGCTGCATGGTGTTTAAAAATTTCATGGTACTTTCCTGCATTTACAGTTATACCAGTTTTGACAAGATCTCCAAAATGCTTTAAGATACTTTATACAGCCACCCTTCCACTAAAGCCATTTGTGACATGGCTTCAGTGAACAGTAGCTGAATCAACTGAAGCGCCAGATGGAACTCTCAGGTCTTGTGTCAGGTCTTTGTAGGATTGTTTCTCCACGCCAAAATATAGTTATTTTTTCAGATTCCGATTGGGAAACTTTAATAATTCCAAAAAGGGCATTTTTCTAGCTTACCCACACACTCAAACTCACACAAACTAGTCTTATAGTTTTGGGCCAATAGCGCTTCGAGAATCACCTTGTTGGTGCAAAAATACAATTTTATGTCTATCAAACTGTGTTATCTTTAGATATTTTCACAGATTTGACTAAATGAATGGGAGCAAATTATGTGTTATGCAACAGGCTGCCACTAACCACTTGTCTAAGGATATACTTGGTTGCTGGTTTTTTACCAAGCTGACAGTTTTGCGTAGACACAACACTGATTCATCCTTTGAGTTAGAAGCCTTTTTATGCTTGAATGATTCATAGGTCAATCTTAAGTTGCTGAAGAAACAAAAAAATATTCTGAAAATGATCAGGTACAAGGACTGAAAACGAGTGGGGGGAAAAAATCCAGAAAGCGAGCAGAACTATTATTGCTCAAGATCACTTCAAAAAATTTACAAGAAAGTCTGGCTCCTTGGAAGCCAAAATATAAAGAAATGAGGACACATTCAAACCTTTTGCACAGCACTGTTACATACCAGAAATGTAATGATCAGAAATTTATATTAAGACCTGGAAACCTCGTCAGTCATCACGAAGCTTAGCTGACTGATGCCTGAGAAGAGGCTGTTAGCTGCTGGTTATATAGAAATACATAGGAGCCACAGAAACCACCGCATCCTCTGCAGAAACGCCACAGAGCAGAAGTAAAGCGGATGAGTCGGTTTATTTACTAACACTGTCGCCATTTGTGGAGCAGCAGCATCACACCCAGAAAAGCTACGATTAAACCCGGGCAAACCTTCATAAAATGCCAGGTAGCAATACCACCACCAACCCATTCCAGTATGCCACACTGGGCAGCCCATCTGACTCCATCAGCCTCCCTTAAAACCATATTTACCCCAGCCAAACTTTCAGGAACCCACCTCTTGTTGGAAATCTTGTGAGCGACACAGCCCCGTTTCCAGCGGTCAGAACCGGAGCTGATGTTACCTGCTATTGGCGTGGCTGTCTCCTACATATCCCGTTTGTAGAATCGGTACCATGTTAGTTAGCGTTAGCTGTCAGATTGGACAGCTTCTTGACCTTAGCCTGACAACATGCTAGCTAGCTAAGTCAGCCAGACTCGTTTTCAAACGGCTTAGAGTTAAAATAAATCTTTCCGTTGTTTCATTTTCATGTCAGTGGAAAACCTCTCTTCTTCAACTAATGCTCCGAGTGTCGGACTCTGACGGTAAACACTGGTCTGACTCTGCCGTTTGAGCAGCGGTGCATGCTAACACTAGCAGCTAACATTACGCAGTCTCTCCGGTTAGAGAGGCACCGAGCTGTCACGATAGCTACTCACCTTCAGGAGCATCGAGTGGACGGGGAGCAGACTCCGCAGAGATGTCGCTGGAGGTGCTTCAGAGACTGGAGAGGTTGATTAATGTCGCTCTACTGTAGCCAAACTCTTTAACGGCGAAGAAAAACATCCAGGAGGAGGCTAACGTCAGCCTGTTTGGATTTTACGGTTCATCTGCGTGACAATGGCGGCTTAGTGCCATCTTCAGGTCACAACAGGAATTACAGTTTCTTACGACCCTACTCGCAAGCTGCAGACTTTTTTTCGTTTACCAGGATTGTTAACCAAAAATAAACTTAAAGCTTTATCTGGGGAAGAAACATGAGGAATAATCATTTTATAACTGCTGCAAGCCAAACGTCACCACTAGTCTGAAGTTACATGAATTTTTAAATGGAGTGGCATACAGGAGGTGGGTTAGGGAGGCATATATGAATAGTTATTCAGAAATAAATACAGTGCAGATAATTGATGTGGAACTTGTTTAGGTGGCATTCGCGTTCTTACCTTACTTACTTAATATGCAAATCATATGCATTATATTATTTAATCATAAGTACATTTATTTATATTTTAATATTTGGGATTTTACTGGGGTGATCTTGAGAATCATGACAAATTATCTTTGTTTCCTGTTTTTTGTACTTTACATTTTTGTGTTATGTAACTGTTATTTGAATATATTTGGTATACACAAGGTTAAAGACAGCTTGTAAAAAACACATATTAATCAAGAAATCTCATTCAAGAAATAACTTAAACTTTAAAAAAAAAGAAGAAGAAAAGAAATACGAATAGTGAGTTCTTACAAAAACCTTGAAATGTCTTTAGTTTTGATCTCACTTGGTTTCAGTTTCCAAAACAAAAAATAATGAGTAGACATTGTTTATTAAATTGGGACGTTTACATGACTGCTTTACAGTTATGTAAACTGTTGTCTGAACCTTTCGAACGCCTCTGGCAACAACAACAAGAGCAACAATAACAATAACAATAACAGTACAATAATACAATATGACTTAAATTCATTAATGATTAATTAAGGTCATAAATACTGATATTATTTAAACATAAACACTTAAAGAACTAACTGACTGCAGATGCTACACTAACAGTGTTGATAAAACTGCAATTAAAGTGGATAAAAGAAGCTAAGATTTTGAAAGAAAATCATGATATGGGGTGGTTATGATGAGATGATTATTCTTTGATGTGATGAATACTTTGTTTATCCCATATCTGGGAAATTATTTTTGTTACAGTAGTTATGTTCAGTAGTTATGTTATGATACTGTAAGCGAGGTGGGGACATAAAAAGCAAACAAAAAAGCTGTCCCAATATAAAGAACAAACCACAATATACATAAATATGAGTGACTTAAAAGGATGACTACATAAATTCGTCTCACTGTAAACAACGCATTAATAATTGGATGCTACCTTCAGAACCCCTTTGAAAAGTTAAAAAAAAATCAAGTCGATCACGGTGATCACTGTGACCCTCATTCACATAACATTTATACTGCCTCCTGGTAGGTGGTGGACCATTTATACCTAGCTAATACAGGTAGCAAGCTGATGGGAAAAGGCTTAATCGTTTGCCTAATTCCGAGTTACTTTAAATGCAACATCGTTTAAATCTTTCTAATGAAGACATGTGATTGGCTGTTAATTTTAAACATGATAAAGAATTAGCCAATCAGTGACACTTTTCTTGGTCGTCGCCAGCAACGAACATACACTGTTTGTACATAGAGGAACCAGCAGTTTGGCCAGTCAGAGCCTGACAAAAGCGATTTTATGAAGCTGTACGTCATGTGCTGAGTTTCCACATCTGGTTTTATACGGCCCTAGGTAGACGCGTAGCCGTCTTCTGTCGGCATGAATCTCGGGTGAGTCTTCCTTATAACGGTAAGGGGAGTTAGCTTAGGCTAACACGGGTCGAATGTGTCGCAGTGAAATGAAGGGGATTATTTTAGCTTAAAACCGAAGAGAATCAATACATAACATGACCCATTTTAAAAACACTACATTGCAGCAATAAAAGAGGGGTGGTCACCCTGCAAAGGTCCCCATGAACCTGACTACAGCTCTTACAAACAACTCAGAAAATTTCACCGTGAGACTGGTGTGCATCAAAGCATCTTAACATTGTATTGATTTACGGGCACAAGGTTTGGAGCCGTAAGTATAGTCGAACAGTTAGAAGTTTGGTTCTGTACATCAGTTTTCAGCGTTTAATTGAGTTTTCCAGGTTTTGCATTAACTGTTTGGGAATTGCAGCTGTTTTTAGTCACATTTGTATGTGCGCAAAATAAATTTGGCAAACTAACACAATTTTAAATACTTGGATGACAATCCTTTTCGTCACTTGAGATGCTCTGCAGACTTACTGCAGCCACCTTCAGTTTCTGCTAGTTTGTGGATTTCTAAGCCTTCAGTCTGGTCTTCAGTAGCTGAAAAGCTTGCTCTATTGGAGTGAGATCAGGTGACTGACTTGGGCATTGTACAATATCCTATTTCTGTGCCTTGATAAACTCTTGGAATACTTTATTGGTATGCTTTGGGTCATTATTCATTTGTACTGTGGAGCACAGTGTGATCAGTTCTGCAGCATTTGTCTGAATCAGCAGAGTAAAGCTTGGTACACTTCAGAATTAATCCTACTACTTCTGTCAGCTCTCGCATCATCACTATAAGATAAATAAGGATTATTTTGAACTGTGAATATGTAAAGCTTCTGTAGTACAATAATAAAAAATATGGAGTGGAAATTGAGCATACACCAACCACTTAGACTAGATAATGAGACTTAAATACAGTATCGATCTTTGCCCTGTACTGACTCATAAGATGTGATTGTGTGACGTTTCATAAATGGGACATTTAAGCGAAGAAAAACCATGACCCTCCTGTGGTTGGACTGTTGTTATTTGAGTGCTGTTTCAGTGATCCTGATCCCATATTTGGACTTGGACAAAACACACTTTGAAAAATGAAAGTAGAAACAGTTGGTTCTGTAGGTGCAGTACAGCTACAGTATAATTTTTGGTGTTTATTGTGTTTTTTCTGTGCCCTAATCGGTGTTGTGTTTGTGAACAGGGACGGCCTGCTTTTTGAACTTGAAAATGGAAAACCCAAGTTGATTTTGCTAAGTCATGGTGAGACCTTTAAGCTTTTATAATCTACATTTTAATCTTCATTTTGGATGTGCAGAAAAATAATGTTTTCCATCCAAATCTATCCATAGCTCTTTGAGTAATCCTGTTAACAAACGCACAGTTAACAGTCAGTTAACCTTCCTGGTAAAGCTGTGTTTTGACACTGTGAAGATTACTTTATGTAAAATTCCTATTTTTCAAAATTATACTTACTACTCCCATGCCTGTTCCACTGCAGGTGTTGATAAAAATCCAGCAAAGGTAGGACTCCAATTTAAAGTTGGGCTATTATATTCTCATGAAAATGTGTTTATCCAAATACCTTTGGTGACATATTGTTTGTTTCTAATGATCAGTAACAATTGCATGATGGTCTGTCGGCTTTATGACTGTTATAGTTTTGTCTGATCTTGTGTGTTTCCTCACAGCTGTCCTTCAGGCCTGGAGCAGCAAACATCCTCAGCTGCCGGCAGACCTCCTGTGTGTCAGATGTACAGGGGGAGGAGCGTCCACCCCGACAGCTGGCAATGAGGCACAGAGGGGCCAGGAGTAAGGCAGGAGGAGCAGGTGCATCTGTCACCTCCAATACTGAAGGGAAGAGTGCCAGCTTGACTTCAATGAAAACACATGATCATCACAAAGTTGGCATCGTCAAAGCTGTGGCCAAGGTAAGGATCTGGTTTAGCATACCTGTAAATGTTTGGACACATTTTCAAAAAAGCTTCTATGAAATAATAAAATGATAACATAACATTTTTTATTTGTTCCTCTCCGACTTGGTCCCACTCACACATAAAATCCAAAGGTGAGTGAGCAGGATATTGTTAGTCTCACTTGCTTTCTGTTGAATCTGAAGTTCTTCAATGGTTTTTGTTCACATTTTTTTACTGTTTTTCTTAACTGACTGTTCTATTTATAGACATTTTTCCCAATTTGTATTGCTTTTTTTATTCAGTTTCCTACTACATTTTCCTTTGTTTTTGTTAATATTGTAATTTCTTGCTTTACTTTTTTCACTTCAGTTGTTCTGAAGATAATTTTCTTCTTTTTTGTGATCTAAATGTGATCGACCTTCTTTTCTTCTTGTGCATCTAAAGACCACTTTCAGAACTCTCTGGAAGACCAGTTATGACCACTTGTGCCACTTTTCTTCTATACTTTAATCATAGACCTCAAACATGCACAGAGAGCAAACATCAACTTCTATTTCAACCTTGCACAAATTTCTTGTGAGGGATCATTGCTGGTGACAAGACTCCACAGCCCATCGAGTGAAAAGCAAGACTAGGAGCATGCTCATTACATTTTTTTTTTTTTCCATGATTCACTGAATTTGTCTCCTAGGGTGAGATTGTCAACAGAGATTTCCGCTGAATGCTCTGTCAGGTGTCCTGAGGCATCTGACAGAGAGCATTTGGTTGAAAGGGTTTGAACTGTGGTGCCATCATATGCTGGCACACAGCACATTAAAAACACAGCAGTTTTGGGAGGGGTTTTTGCCACACCAACACAATCTTTGCTCACCAACTGTCTCACTTTCCACATATATTTTCCTGTGACTTTGTTTACTTCATAAAAAAATTAAAATAAATTTCAAGGATCATTGCTTTGACATACTGGAGGAGATGCATTATAGCAGAGAAAATGGGACTATTTCTTATAAATTCTCATGTACATATGTATATAAGAAGTATGTACGTGTTTTTCATGTTTTGTATTTTTGTTCTGTTGATGCACTACTGGTTTAGAGTTATTACTGTCTAGTTCAAATATTTTGGGGTTCTTTGGATTCTATCACTTATTTGGATGTAGGCAATGGGGGAAGCAGCCTAAGCAGAGATTCCTAGATATTCGTCTCCTACCTACTTCATCCAGCTCCTCTGGGTGGGGAAACAAAGGCCTTTCTAAGCCTGCTGAGGCCCACAATCTCCCCAGCATGTTGTGGGGTCATCTCTTAGTAGAAAATGCCTAAAACACCAGTTGCAAGTGTTGTTCCCATTATATTCCTTAACCGTGGGTTCTTTTGGTGTGAAAGAGCAGCAGGTCTACTCTGAGCTCTTCCTGAATGACTGAACATAGACACATTTGTGCAAAAATTAATTTGTACTGCTTGTATCTGCAATCTTTTTCATTCAGGCACTATCTGTAGGTCATCGTCAAAAGACCTACAGGTACACTGGTAATTTAACAGTTTAACCTTAACACTTGGCTTTCTCTTCACCACAACAGACTGTCCATACTGTGCACTATTTATAAAATAGGGTATTGTAAGTTGCCTTAAATTTAAAACAACTCTGTAACTGTCTCCCCTCAACCATTGATTTTCTGTCTTTCTGCTGAAGGTAAAGTCAGACAGGCAGAAACACAGTATTACTCTTGGGCCCCTGAGAGCCGGTGAGAAAACGGTACAAGCGGGAAACACTAGGACTCGAGGAGCTGGAAAGGCAGGATTTAAAGACCCAGCAGCCAGTAGGGATGCAGCACTGAAGGACAGCATGGTGTGTCTGACCAGTGAGCAGCTGCAGCACATCCTCAGCACTGTCCAGACCTCCAACAATATGCAGCACCCACCAGAGGATGACAAGACTCAAGGAAGCAATGGTAGAGTGGTGCACTGAGAAGGACTGAAGCACAGAGTGAAGAGCAATTTAAAAAGTTCTTTTTTTTTTTTCACCCTTTCAGGAAATCAAACAAGCTCAAAATCTGGCTACTCACAGAATGAAGGAGGAGGAGGCAATATGAGGGAGGAAGACAGAGGAGGAGGAGGGGAGGGAATAAAGAAAGGAGATGGAGAAGGAACAGATTCAATGGGACCCTCACAACAGAAAGACAACAAGTGAGGAGCTTGTCACAGTTCTTGTAGCAAAATCAAATTCCCCTTGATGCATACCTACTGCAGATGGCAGTCAGTGTATAGGACTCTGGAAATTTAGCTGACTCTTTAATTCAAGCATGAATATAATTAGACAACACAAATGTCAAATCATTGTTACAGCAGAGCCCAAAAAAAATCAAGTTTTTAAGATGTTGTGATGATGCTGTTGTTCCTCAGGTTGTCTGGAGGTATGTTCAGCTGGCTGGAAGAGCGACAGTCAGACAGCAAGGCAGCCATCGAAGCTAAGAAGGCTCAGTGGAAGAAAGAACTCGGTACGTACAGTTACTCACTCACACACACGCAGGCATTTTAAACCAGTAATCCTCATGTATATTAAGAATGGTGACAGTTCTACCAGAGAGTTTGAGCATCATTGAATGGCTCTGATAAACCTGCTGAACAGCAAAGAGCAAACACAGTAAGAGTTTAATTATTGTTTTATCTTATATTGTCTTTACTCACCTCAGCCTGAAATCAAGCCTCAGTTGATGTTAAAAAATCAGAATGAGGAAAAATGTCAGTCACTTTGCATTGCTGGTTTTGCTATTTATGAAACAGCAGAGAGGCGTACTACGAAGCAATTAGACACAGCTGTAATTTCTTTTGGGTAGCTGTCTTGACAAAGCTTAAAACCAAAGTTAAGAGATGACCATTAATATGATGATGGTTATCACTTTCTGCTGCACATTAACGGGGGTGTTTTGCTTGTCATGTCACTTTCCTTCTGCACGTAATTGATCGTTCTGCTTACTTAGGAATCCTAATCAGAGGAATGGACAATAGACAAACATAAGGAATGTAAAATAATGACACAGCAAAGGACAACACAGGTGCTGCATGTAAGCCAAGTGAGCAATGCTGCAGAAAATCATTACGTGTACTTCTTGTGTGCACATTAGAGCTCTGAGACTTTAAACTTGATCCATTTACATGCCGTTTTATAATCAGTATCTTCAGACTCTGTGCCACAGCCTATTTACAAATGTGCCTTTAGTTTGTGGACACATGACTCTTTGTTGTATTTGCTATGATGTGAGAAGTGTGGGGGGGGGAAGAATTGGCAGCAGATTAGAGTAAAGTATGAAATTATATTTATGCATTTTCTGCTTTAGAAACTGAATTCTTGAGAAAATATAATACGAACAGTTTGTCCTGCAGTAACTTTGCAGCAAGGCTTGCTTCAGTGGTGTCAGTAAAATATGGCTCCACAGGTTGCATGTATAAAATATATTCTGTCTGTAGAGAATGTAAAATGCATTTTGAGCATGCTGTCATTAAAGGAAGTTTATTTTAAATTGGATTGTGTTATATATTCAACATAAGTTACTCTGGTCTTATCAGGTAAAAAGAAAGCCACTTTCATAGCCTGAAAAAAAAAGTAAATTTAGTGTTTACACACCTCACTAATGTATGATTATTACTTATTAGTTAGACCATCTGGATTTTCAGCACAAATGTACTGAACTATGACGGGAAAACATCCAGCGAGACGTCAGAAGCCAGACAGGATAGATTTCATTTACTCAGTCCCTTTTTTGCTGAACAGAGAATCTGCTCCAACCTACTGGTACCATAAACCAAAGTGCAAAATGTAGTTTGTAGTATCAAGTCTGCAGATGCTCAGTCAGAAACAACAACCTGACTCCATGGAGCCTTGTGTCAACAGTCCTAGCTTCTGCTGGTGGTGTAATGTTCAGGGGAATGTTTCCTTGGCACACTTGGAGTCCATTAATGCCAACTGCTCATGATGTGAACACCACAGGCTCTCTGACTGTTGTTGATGACCATTTCTTTATATGGTCACAATTTAATGGCTCCAAGAGCACAATTACACCAGAGTGTGCATAATGAGTACTCGATGTTAAAACCTTTGTAGTGTTATTTAAGTAAGATTTTGACTTTGACTTAAGACTCTGAGTACTACTTTTCAACACTTTTGAAACCCCTTTTTTTTTTTTTTTTTTTTTTTTTTTTTTTTGGTTTTTTTTGGTTTTCCAAAATCAGCGTTTAACCTTGTGACGTTTATTTTAATGTATAGGTAACCTGAAATGACATACTGATAGGTCAACACTGGCAATGACTCCTGTTATCAAAGAGTCAAAACTTGTGTGTGTGTGTGTGTGTGTGTGTGTGTGTGTGTGTGTGTGTGTGTGTGTGTGTGTGTTAGATGAACAGGTGGCCCTAAAGCAGCAGCAACATTCAGCACCCAGCAGACTGCAGGTACAGTCACCTCTGAGTTCCTGTGCTCATTTTGTTTTTTAATTCTCTTCTTTTTTTTGAATAATTAAACTGCTGATTTAAAATTTTACCAACTGTTCCAAAAATATTAAAACTAGAACTTTTACAACTAGAACTACAAGCTGTATTGTGTTAAGTAATGCTCGAGAATTAGTTGGAATGGATGAATTGATTTAGGAAAGTGGGCTCGACTCTTAGAATAGCCAAAATGTGCAAAATTGACTTATTTGCATCATACTTTGTTCAGTATGAAGCTGTCGCCCTCTACTGTCAGTTAAGAAGAATACAGGCTTATGCAGGACTTGTGATTGGACTCTGGGTTGATATATTTTATTTTATTTTATTTGTAGCATGTGTAAAAGCCTTTTGTGTATGTCTATGTGTGTGTTTTTCAGGCTGAGGAGGACACACAGAGTGTGTTATCAGTGCAGAGCTCGATCAGCCACAAACAGCAGCCGCCAGCCATCAGATCCAGCCTCAGACTCGGGGTAATAAAAGTACTTTTCACAGATAAAATCAACACTGAGGTTGGAGCAGCCATGCTTTTTTTTTTTTTTTTTTTTTCTTCATTTCTTCACACCATCACACTTTTCCTGATGTAAGAACACCAACTTTCCATTCTGTCCTCAGCAAGACTAAACATCAGTTAAATTTGTAACTAGCAGAAAAAGTATATTTAATCAATTATCAGTAATTTTTTTTATTTATATTAGATTGGGTTGATTGGTCTTATTGGATTCTTTGTCTTATCATCCTATGCATCTTACAAAATGTGTTTTAGTACTTGTTGCATGTGGTGGTTTATAGTTAGATATCTTATCTCTGGAGATGATATTAATGTGATGTAAAACACCAGAATACAACCACACGGGTAATTATGCTGGTACTGGTCCATTTCAGGTTAAAACATGAATACGATTACCTGCAGTCTAAATCAGACCCTGGTGACTAAACAATTACAAAAAACACTAAAAATGAAAATATATTCTGTTGGTTTATTTTACTGAAGTCTTTTAATTGTATATTTAGTTTTTTTATTACTTAGTAAGTGAATGTGTATTACACAGATTTTGGTTCTTATTTTATTGTATTTAGTTCAGCTCTTCTTCAGTTTTTTTTTTTTTTTTTTTTGTCATTTTGCTTCAATAATAGCTGTTTTATTTCATTACTGGTTGTTTCCTGTTTTGAATGCCGGAACAAGAACTTTTGGGATAGACCAAACATGTTCATCTCACCTTAAATACTAATTAAATCAAACGAAGCATTTATCTGCTTTTTTTTCTTATACCTTACTCTTTAAGAGTAAAGTAAAAGAGTAAAGTGCAGTTGAAGATTTTCAGTAGCATAACTTTCCCTAACTTGTTGTTATTTGCCTTTTAATCCCTCTCTAACTTATAGTACAAAAAAATGTCGCTTTCATTGCAGTTTTTTTTTTTTTTTTTTTAATATGACACTGGGAGAGTGAAACGAGAAAAGGTTTATTGAATCTGATATTTCTCTCAAGTGTTGTTTATCTATACAGTTCAGGGTTATTCATTTCAGAACTGCTGCTGACTGAATTCGAGCATATTTTTTTTTGTGTGTATGTGTCTGTGTGCGTTTAAGACTTATTCACAACAAAACTTAACTGTGATCTTAAGGATGTGTTTAGGCAACAAAAAATATGAATTAAAATTAAGTCCTTGCATCTCTGTAGGAGGTCACTCCGATGGAGGAGGAGATGCTAAGTGTGGAGAGGAGAGAAGAGCAGAAGAGGTGCTGGTTGGAGGAGCTGGACCGTCAGAGAGAGGAGATGACTGAGCGCAGGAGACGAGAGAAAGTGCTGCAGAGTCAGGTACAGCGGGGACACGGCACAGACCAGGCAGGTTTGAGAGGTCAAAGTTGTCCCCCTGAGTCTGGTGTTGTTGTGTCTGCAGGCGGAGGACCACGAGCTCTGGGCTACACATTTTGACTCGCTGCAGAGGAGGCCGCCTGTCCAGCCTGCAGTTCCATCAGCGCTGCCACCGGCTCAGTTCAGCAGCTCTGATCGGGGAGAGTGGGAGCCCTTGTCAAGCCTTTCCCTTATCTGGGATGCTACGAGCAGCTGTGGAGCAGACAGTGTCGCAGGAAACAGTGTGGATACAACCCGTGGGTACCCAACCAGGGCCAGGTGGGAAGGAACGTCTCGTCAAATATTTAAAAGACTCTTTGTACACGATCCATGGTGACTTATTTGTGATGAGCTGCAGATGTATAAGTGTATATATTTAGTTTGTTTGTTTTCCTGTGATATGTACAGCTATCTGAGGACCATGACCTCCCTGTTGGATCCTGCCCAGATAGAGGAGAGAGAGCGGAGGAGGCTAAAACAGCTTGAACAGCAGGTAGGAGGAGGCACAGAGAAGAGATCAGTGAATGTTTTTCTCACCAAGATTCCCTAAATTTTATCTTTTCCTACCAGCGAGCTATCGAAGCCCAAGTGGAGGAGCGTCGTCTGCAAAGGGAACGAGAGGAGGCGAAGAGGAGACAGGAGGAGGAGGAAGAAGAGAGCAGGGTGGTGCTGGAAAGGGAAATGCTGCAGAGACAGTATGAGATGGACACACTGAAGGAGAGGGAAAAGGTCAGAGACAGACTATTATACAGAAACATTTACGTAAACTCTCTGCACACCTTTATTTCTCTGATTTTCTGTTAAACATTTTCTGATGAGGATGAAGCTAACTGTACTTATCTGAAACTGTTTCATTGTGTTCTTCATCTTTAGGAGCAATCGATCAATCAGGAGGAGCAGCTAAAAAAAAGCAGCCATGATGGCAGATTGCATCAGGAACTGGAGTCCAACGGTCAGTAAGACTTTTGCAGTGTCTTTGCACTTTGGATCTGAAAATATGCACCAAAAGTATATTTTTACTCTGCCTGCTCAGTAATGAATCAATGCTTTGAAGCACAGGATTCAACCACATGGTAATGCTGCTAAAAATATAGAGTCTGGGTCCAAATATACATATCTTTTATTCTACTGAGTGGCAGAAGTACAGAACGTGGCCTCAGAAATAGTTTGCAGAGTTAATCAATGCCAAACAGTAGATCGAACCACTGTGAGGATTATGGAGGGAGTCATTTTCTAAAAACTTGAAATGTAATCCACTTCTGCCATGAACCAAAACTGTTGCTGAGAGACTGATAAAAAGCAATGAAAGTGATTTCCACCCACAGGAATTAGTTTCATTAGTATCCTACCAAGGAACCAACTCATTGTGCTCATTTATGTTTAATGTTTTCTGGTTTCTGACAGAAGAGAGCGTTTCACTCCCAAACTGTTTATTAAACACACCTGCTCCAGGATTTGCTCCCTCCTGTGTAGCACTGGTGACAGCTGATTAAAATAAATTGAGTTGCAGAAGATGTTGAAGTAAACATGTTTGTAATAATCAGCTCTGTGTGTGTCTGTTTGTGTTTTCAGCAGTTACCAGGCAGGCTGAAGATTTGGAGGACACCAGCACTTCGGGTTCCTCTTACAAAGACGCTGCTGTACAGACAGGTAACGCATCTAATGCTACTACGCCCACTTACACTGCTGCTGTGGGAGACCGTATGTCTGCGTCTCTCAAGTCTATCTGCACTGAGCCACTAAAAAAAATCTGTTTCCATGTTTGTGAGATTGAAATGTTTCAGTGCAGCATCAAGGTGGAGTAAAAAGAGCTTTGAGTCCTCAATTAGAGCAGAGAATGCACTGTAACTACCAGTTTACCTTCTAGTTTATGACTAAATTAGCAAGATTTAATTAAAGTTGACCCATTCTGCCCATTTTCAGATTTTTCTCTCTAGAGAAGCTTTGCATGAACAGCAAGCAAACTTGGCTTCTGTGGTCACAGTCGGAGCTGTGTGTCTAATATGACCGTATTAGAGACATCCACTCTGACGTCATTCATATCTAAGTGTAGGAAAACAGAACTGTCTGAATTCTGCTGGAGGTGATGTCATTGTTGGAAAATGTGTCCATGTTTAATATGAATATCCACGATTGTCTCTCTCGCTCTTTTGCCCTCTCTTTCTATGGGTATCTAATACCTTTGCAGTATTTTATATTTTCTGTTTTTCTACAAGATAAATGAGTAAAGAGGCTCTCTGTCAATATATTGATAAAGTTGTAGCAGTGTCATCTTTACCTCTTAGGTCCTACAAACTTGAACAGGCAGACTCAAAATTTGTTTAAATGATTCTTGGGGTTTTTTTTTCCTTGTGTGAAGGAGCAATATTTCTAGAAAGCTGCTCATTATTTCCTGTACAGTACAAATCATTTTTTTGGTTCAGCCCTATTTAATATTTGCTGAAAGGCCTCATATCTGTATGTTTTTATTTATCCCTGTCTCTGTGCAGAAGCTGCTCCTTCTCTGCCGCTCAGAGCTCAGACTCCAGATGTCTCAGCGCAGCCTCCTCCATCTCTGCCCACCACTGCTCCTCCTCCAAACAGCAGGAGCAGAGCGTTGAGAACAGGGAAGGAGAACATTTGTCTGCCAGCAGGAGGAGACCCATATGAGCCGTTTGCCAGGACAGAGAAGAGCAGGAGGGACAAGAGGAGACCTGAGTGGAACACTCAGAGGTAGAAACTCCTAGACCATCACACTCTAGTACATCTGAAACAGGGATTGTATTGATATTATTTTAAAAATCTCTCCCTACACATGCTCTGCTTCAGGCCAAACCGTCAATTCGTTCCAGCCTCAGAGCGTTACCCAGCTGCTCTGCAGAGGAACAGACAGGAGAGTCGACTAAAGAGGCAAGCTGAGCTCCTCGCTCTGCAGGAGAGGACCTGTCTGCCGAGGACCGACCCTCCTCTTCCTCCTCCACCCCAGGAGCTTCGCCTGTGCCCTGACATCATGCAAACCAGAACCAGTCCCACCAGGAAGGTAGCCCCCCCCATACCAGCTTCTTAAAAAGACTTTTGTTACTTCTAGTTTTCTCTGCTGGCTGGAGGTCATTTGTAACCCTCCCAGCTGCAGGTGGATGTGTGTGTTGATGACTGCTGCTGTTTCAGGTGGAAACCAACTCCAGAGGGCACATCATTTCCACAGGCTTAAACGCTGAAAGGTGAGCAGCGGACAGTAGACTCCAATCAGAAGGTTTTAATATTCGAACAGATTCTGAAAGTTTATTTTTTAATTTTTTTTTAGGAGGATTAAAAATTTCAGAAAAAAAAGTTTGTGCAGTTTGTAACCAGAAAGCCTAATTTTTAGTAATTAGTCCAGCAGCTGTGCATGGCGGGGTTGGGACTCCCTCTTCAAAACTGTGTGGCCACTACAACTATGTGCTTAGTTTTAGTCTGTGTGGTGAATGTTGTAGATATTGAGACTTGGATGTCAGTGTTCTGTGTATTTTAATACACAAAATGATAAAAACTTACCTGCAAACTCACTCTTTAAACTAACATAAACTGAAAAATAAGACTAACTAAATTGAATAAACTAATAGAACAAATGGAAAACTGTATTAAATTTGGTCAGCCCACAATTAAAATCGTTATAAGATTGTATTTTCAGACAGTTTTCAGGTAGTTTGGTTGTGCATTTTATTCTAGACTAAAAAATAAGAAATGTAAAGGGCTTTTTCATGTTTTGTTTTGTTTTTTGTCCTCCAGAGGGCGCTCTCCTCCTGTCCCTGCAGTCAAACACAGAGCGCAGAGTCAGCATGCCTCCAATACTCTTCCTCTTGTCTCGGAGTTCATTCCTTACGTCAGGACTAATGAAGTCTTCAACCTGGACCCTCTGGAGCCCGCTGACACTCCTCCACCCCTCACACACTCAGGTTAGACACACCAAACTAGATGTAATGATCCCCAAAATCTTTAAGTTCCAGCCTCGCCATTGACACAAATTCTACGATACAGTAGAGGAAATGATTTGGGTTTGAAAGTCACAACAAAAACTAGATGCTTATTCAAGTTTAAGCCTTCATGTAAGTACAGTATTGTTACACGATGGAGTAACATAATTGTATCTGCTTGTTCAGAGTTTTATCCCACAAGTCCCCAAAACGTTGAAAACCAATCAATTAATTGCCTGACAGAAGAAATATTTTTGCATAATTCTCCTTTCTCACTCTTAGAATCACCAGACTTTACAAAATAGGCTCAATGTTTCTATCAGTGTGACCTGAAAATAGTGAATGAGCTCGTGAACGCATCAGGAAAGTGTTTACTGAGGTCAAAACTGAGGGTCATTTCGCCACAGACTTCTACATAATCTTTATATAACCAAAGGTATCACCTCTGGTGGCCATTAAAAAAAATATTCAGGATTATTCTGACCCTGGAAGCTGGGTCCATTTTGTATTCCCATAACTTCCATAACTTTCATCTAATGTCACTTTGAAAGTCTTTGCACAGAAACAGATAAATCTTTATTTCTTTTTGTTAGACAATCATGATAACTGCCTGATCTTTAGTTGGATAAAACAATCCACTCCTCTGGGAGTAACTTAAAACCTTTTTTCAGGTAGCAAACTTGGAAACAGCGGCACATAAATGCAGAGAAAAACCTCTGAGCATGTTACTGTGCATCAGTTTGCATCTAAATAAATGTTCTCTCCTGTTATAGGAGCGCCTCCTCCATCACATCGAGACCCCCTCCTCCACCCAGAGCTGCTTCGTAACACCCACATACACCGACAGCAGGAGATCCTCAGAGGCCTGGCTCAGCTCCGCCAGGTAACACACGCAAAAAAAAAACCCACACACAAGGTGTCCTTACAGAGAAAACCCCAACAATCAAACAACCTGCTGTGAGCAAGCGCTTGGCAACAATGGGAAGTAAAAACTCCCTTTTAGCAGGATTAAACCTAAAGAACCAAGCTCAGGGAGGGGCCAGCCATCTGCTGGTAGGGGGTTGGGGGAGGGAGACGGGACAAAAGACACACTGTGAAAGAGAGCCAGGAAGTAATCATTCTCAGACTTAGTTATGTCAGGGTCATCATTCATTATTACTCACTAATAATGTATGATGACCCTGAAACCAGGGTTAGCAGATAAAGTCTGCTGTCTTTATCTGCTGATTCTCCTGAAGTCTTGTTACAGAGTCTGTTACAGCGTTTCCGCCAGTGTATTACAAACCCAGCAGTCTGCCGCTCTCCTCTTCTCAGTAAATTCAGTTGCCTCAAAATGAGCAGAATAGTTTCCCCGTCACGCCTGTGTTGATCCACATGAAGACGATGAGTGATGAGCATCCTCACCTGTACAAACTGTGTTTGTGTGCTCTCAGGGTTTGTTACTGAAGCAGCGGGAGCTAGAGTCAGATCTGAATCCTTCCCGGAAGCATCGCGACGAGCACCGGATTCCCTCGACATCACACCGCACGTGACCTCCGACCTGTGTCAAATAAAACCTCAGCACTCTCATGTGAGTGCATTTATTTTGATACTACAGAGTCCTTCAGACTTGATGACCTCAGGAGGTCCAACCCTTGAGGGGACAGATGATCAGCGTACTAAAATGTCACAAATCAGCAGTTGACTCCCCTGCACCTATGACCAGGAGATACACAGTTTCGTTTAACAGTGAAACAGTAACAATCTAACAATGAGTTCAAGCAGAATAACCCCTGAATGAGTCACTGAGTGTAATTCTCCATAAACTCTTCTTCCCACTGCACAAAAAGGAAGAGTAAATATTCCAGAGATGGTTGTAGCTCTCATGAGCTGCTCTATTATTAAAAAACCCAAATTAAATCATTATTTTTCTTAATATTACATTTATTTAACATTGGGGATACAGCGAAGTTTAAATTCTGTTAAAGCTGAAAGCTGAAATTGCAATGTTGCTTGTCTACTAGCAGGATTCTTGAAAATGTTCTGGTTGGATAGGCATACAAAGTTTGCCCTTTTCTTGGGGGTCATTCTAAACCAGGGAATTTTTTTTTTTTTTCCTGGTTTATAATCGTCCTTAAAAAAAAAGAAAAAGCCTTTGAAAAAAAAAAAAGAGATGGACATAGCCACTGTGACATCACCCATTTGTTAGTTGATGCTTTTGAAACTAGGCATTGCAGATGAGGTGTGGATGTAACTAAAATGCTCG